CCCCAAAACCCCAAAACCCCAAAACCCCATTTATAAATATTTTCGAGACAATCTAAGTCTTATTATTAAAATAAATAACTAATCATAAGTACTAAATCTTGGGATTTAATTCTTGTATATATTCACTGTAACTAATTATCTAGTCCTGATTTTTATCAAATCTTTTCATTAGAAATGCTAAGTCCTTATCACTTGGGAAGTAATGTCGTTCTTCAAGAAATTGCTTAATATCTTGTTTTGATATTTAGCCATTTTTACTCTTATCCAAACTCTAGAAAGATTAAGCCACATCAAAGTTTTTCCTCTATTCCAATAATTTCCTCACCTATTCAGACCTCATTTGTGCTTGCAATAAATGATTTAATACACTTAGGAATTCTCTTTAAGTCTCTGGAATAAAGCAGTTACCTCTAGAGTAATCTCTACTATCATGATAATTATTCCTGCCTACTATTAATGAAGCATAATTTTTGTCTAGAGGTAGAACCATAGCACAAAATTCATTGAAGTTCAACTTTCCATCCTAATCTGCATCATAAAGCTAAAATAAAAGTTATATTTCTTCCCTTCTAGGATAGATGCTCATTATATTCATGGCTTCTTCAAATTCTCTTAAATTAATAGTTCCTCTATTCTAATTATCGAAGATTTTATAGGCTTCTTCAAGATTAAAATCAGTTTTTAAAGCTAGGATGCACTTTATGGCTTCTGTATCTTTATCTATTGAAATAAATTCCTTCAAAGATCTGTAGAGCTCATCTTCTTCATAAGGAAGCATAAATTTGCCTACTCGATCAGGTAAAGCAAACTAATATCTCTGATCTTTACCAGTCATTACTTTCCTTTAATATTCTTGGGACAATGTAACAGATTAGTCACCCCATAGAATAGATGGTGATACCTTACTAAATGAAAAGTAATAAGGATCTTCTGACAAAGTAAGAGGCGCCTATTCTTTCTTGGATTTTTACTCAGATTGATGCTTTTAATGCATAAAAGAAGTTGTCAGAGTTGAGGGACCAAAGGTACTTTTATCAATGTAAAGAGAATCTCTTGGATCAATTGTAAATTTCTTTGGAGGGCTAGTAAATTAGACTGATGAGTCAGCTTTTGTTTCAACACTTCTAAGATTTTTTGTGCTAGATTGATCAATCTTGCTTTAGATGGTCTTATTCGGAGTTTAGTATTTCAGTTTTTTCTGCCTAAGGGGACTTGATTATTTGTATTAACTATCGCGAAGAGAAATTATTGATGATTTTACTGCTGAATTTCTAATGCTATGACTTGACATTAAAGTATTTTATTTTTGAGAGGATCGTTGCAGATTGATACTTTTTGCTTAATAGTGGTTCGGAAGAATCAGCTTTTCAAATTCTCTAAATGATAACCTCACATCATTGCATATGCTGTTCCTTCTCATAAGTCCTGCTATATCTGCTTCATTTAATTGCTCACCATTTCTCGATAGGAAATCAACTATCATTCCTTGATGAATGTGAAAGTCTAGACCTCTTGGTTGAATTAGTTGATAAGCATCTACCACGTTAAAATCAAATCTCTCTGCGAGCTCAGTTTTTATTTCATTCAACTCTTATAGAAGAATAATTTCCTGCTAGATCACTTTGACTAGAGCATACTCTGTATTAAATGAAAGTTTTTATGATTTGTTAATGTAGTAAGGTGTTCTACTTGCGGCTTCTCTTCTGAGAGCGTTGTTATTATTAGGCAGGATGAGATCGATAAATTCCTCTTAGCATAAGTATCCATCTTAATCAGTATCGAATTCTGTGATAAGACTTTAGGCATCTTGTGGAGTGATTTGTACATTATTAGCTTGCAAAAATTCGCAAATATCATTTGCATCAAGCCTTCCTTTACGATCGAAATCAATACGATTAAAAGCAGTGAGGGGCTCAAAGTCTGGTTCTTCTGCAAGTACTTACCTCGTTCCCTCAATCTAAATGATAAATTTATATATAGAGTTACTTTTCGCTCACTCTAAACTATAACAAGAAATATTTTTGCAATTCTCGCTTCAGTCTCTAAACTTAGCATCAGAAAATTAAATAAAAATTAAAATGCAATATTAATTTAATTTACTAATTATTTTTATTTCAGGAACTCGGGGTTTTGGGGTTTTGGGGTTTTGGGGTTTTGGGGTTTTGGGGTTTTGGGG